ACTCTTGCTTTCAAGTACATCCAGTGATTTTGTGAGACAAACTTTTACCTTTAACGTTCTCTGTAAGTAAGGGGAGAGAGTTAAGCACAGATAAACTTAGTCTTTGGTTCCATGACGTTTTAATTACGTTGGAAGTATTCCACTAAAGCCTCGTTTAGGCCATAGTTGTTGGCTTAGCTGTCTTTGGCTGTGGGTAAAGACTGTTTATCAAGTAAATTCAGTGTCTTACTTTGTTCACCTCCTTCAGTTTTGGATTATTGATGTCATTTTCTAAATTGCCTTCGGTCTGTTTGCTTTCTGTCTTACTTTTTTGATCCATTATTTCCATGCAAGATTAGTCTTTAAAAACAGTCATTGTTAATGTTGATATGAATCTTAAATTTAGGCTCCGAAACATTGAGGGTTTGGATATCATACATAGAATAAAATGTAGTCTCTTATACCTTAGTATTTAAAGTTATTCCCACTGTGACGTTTCATTGCCTTTACAACACTTTTTATCATGGGCTCATACGTATCTCTGTTAGTGTTCCCTTTGCTCACAGGACTCCCCTTTTACATAATAGCATTGGCTTCTTTGCTTGTCTCACATCTCACCTTTCTGTCTCTGCTTGTCTTACATCTCCCTTTCTTATACCGTTAAACATGAATCAGACTCTGCTAAAGAGGTTGCTCAGTCATTGAAATCCAGTGGCATTGCATCACTTTAGTGGTACTTGTTTTTCATGCATTCAATAATCAAGCATTTACTGGGTGTTCAAGGTACATTCAACCACTTTCTTTCCCCCAAAACATAGGGTTTTAGTGGCGGGTTCACAATGTTTTCATGGTGGTTCATGGGCTTCTAGTGAGGGCTGGTCCCCAGGAGAATCTCCTATTGGGGAACCCTTTGTGCTGAGATCTACAAGATAAATAAGAAACATTTCCTGGCCACTGGGACCCTAATGCATCAATACGAATGCATAGTGTAATCTAAATTAGAAATTGGTAAGAATCATGAGAGAAATCAAATGAAATGGTCCTGGAAATTTAGAATGAAAGGAAATGCATGTGGCTGAAACAATTTGTTCAGGGTTTTTTATTGTACAGACAAGAGTATTTTGATTTTTGAAAGCTGTATGAGATGGCATGCTGGTAAAGCTTGGGTCACGCGATGTGAGCTGACTACTGAAAGTAACCAATGACTTCCCTTCAAAGCAGAATCAGACTCTGCATGTGTTTGTCTTCATCTCATTGTAAACACTTTGCTCCCAGGCTCCTCTCTCTTCACATCCAGGTTCTTACAGATCCTGACCTTCAGACTACAGTTTACCACTTCCATCAGTAGTGCAAGCCACGATCATTTCTCACTGTTATTATTTAACTCAGTCTGATTACCTGTCTGCTGTTGTCTGTCTACAGTGACTCTTTTAAAGCATACGAGATCATTGACTCGTCTGGTAGAGTCTTCTAGTGGCTCCTTCAGAGCAAAAGCCCAGTCCGTACAGACATTTCACAAGGCCTGGGATGGCCTCAGTTTGATTAATAGATTTTTTTTAAATAAATGTGTTTGCTCTATATTTTTATTAATCTTGGTGCCTTCCATCTTTTATAATATCTCCTGCTTCTTCCCTTCATGAACTCTGTTCCTCTGACTCATTTGCCCCAGCTAAATTGGCTTTTTCTGTTCCTTAAATACACTTCTTACAATCCCGCCTCAGACCTTTGTACTTGCTATATCTGTTCTTTAGTATTTTCAAACTGTGCTACTCCCCTACACATTGGTTCCTTATGTCCTTTATGGGTGTAGACATTACTTTCTTACATTATATGCAGGAAAATATGGTACTCGTGTTTTTGTGTTTTTTTTCATATATATTTATAAAAATATACACACATACACACATTTACACTAAAACCCTTCTTTCCCCGTATTTTCGTATGGTTTCACCTTAGGTGTTCAGTGACCGTTATTTTACTGTGTTACTAATATTGATTGTTTAATGTGATATTAAACAAGGAACTCTGTTTACACTGCAAGGTCGCCAGTTCAAACCCACCAGCCACTCTTGGGAAATCCTGTACAGGATCCCTATGAGTTGGAACTGCCTAGACGGCACTTAACAACAACATAGGCGGGACTGAGGAATATAGGATTGATTGTTCTGCTGAAGAATTGCCAGCAGTATTTATGTCCAAGTAACGAGTCCTGGTGTGGCGCTCTGGGTTACAGCACCAGACTGCAAAGCTTTTAGAACCGCCAGATCAGTGGTTCAAGCTCACCAGCTGCTCCTCGGAAACCCTATACAGGGTAGCTTTGGGTCGGAACCAACTCAAAAGCACTTCACGACAACAACAACAAACATGACCTGAACAGTACTTTCACAAGAGAAATTGAGTAGCATTATAATGTGAGTTAAGGAGCACTGGTAGCATAATGGGTTGCAAGTTAGGATGCTAACTGCAAGGTCAGCATTTCAAAACAACAAGGTACTCTACAGGGATAAATGAGGCTTTCTGCACCCATGAAGATTTACAGCCTCTGAAACCCTGTACTGGGAATCAACCGACTCAGCACACGACCACCACCATATCATGGGGTGGAGATGAGGGATATCTGAAAATGGATTCTTTTCCTTTTGGTAACAATGATTATAGGAAAAAAAGTAATGGATATGTGAGTATAGTAGGATGTGGGCTCTAAAAATACTGTCCAAAAAGGGGGCTATTCTATTCTAGACTCTTAAATAAAAAAACCCATTCAGTGTGTAGTCTTAGATCGACCCAGTTTGTTCATTTTCAATACATACGGAAAACTAAACATGAACTGAACACTGGATAACATTGTAGAATTATAAATTTTATGAGATTTTGAATAATTTATTAAGTAAATGTTTTCATTTGAGGAAAAAATGTTTATTAAAATATTTTTATCAGGAGTGAAGGATTCTCCAGAAAACAAACAGAAGAAAGAATTGTTGCTAATTCAGTACAGTTGAGTCACTTTCAGCCCATAGGGACTCTGTAAAGGGTTTCTGCAGAGCAGCTGCTGTGTTTGAACCACAAGTCCTGCTGTTCAAACCCACCTGGGGTCCAGTGTTTATCCTTCAGCACCACACCAGGAAGCCAGAAGAAAGAGAATCAATAAGAAATAGTAATTGATTGAATGAAATTGGGATAGAAAAAAAAATCAGGTCTGTTGTTACATGGTGTTTTAAAAGGAATATAATACTATAGGAGAGCATGGGAATGTCAAAAGGAACACTCAGAATTTGAAATTTGACTTTCTGTTTTTAGTTGTGGTGATTTTGGATTCATATCTTTTATTTGCTGGTCTTACCAGCTTGGTAATTTCCGGGTACAGTAACTTAAACAGTTGTGTATTTTTGTCCTTTTATTTATTTATTTATTTTTGCGATCATAAGGAGCTCAGGTAGCGTAGTGGTTATGAATTGGGCTGCGAACCTTAAGGTCAGCAGTTTGAAACTACCAGCGGTTCCGCGGGAGAAAGATGAGGCGTTCTTCTCTCGTAAAGATTTACAGCCTCGGAAACCCTGTACAGGGTCGCTATGGGTCGCAATTGACTTGACGGCACTTAACAACAACAACAACATCATATGAATAATTTTGTAGCAAATGTCTATTTGAGATCAGTGACCCTAGTTTGTCTTCTTATCTAACTATATCCTAGGCAGACATGAAATTCCTGTTTTTCACTGTTACCTTGCTTGGTATTTGTGCTTTCTGTTAGTGTAAGTTGAACTTTACTGAAAGAACATAGGTGTCTTCATTACCAATGTTGTTGTTAGGTGCCATCGAGTCAGTACCGACTCATAGCGACCTTATGCACAGCAGAATGAAACACTGCCTGATCCTGGGCTCACCTCACTACCATTGCCACACTTGAGTCCATCGATGCTGCCACTTGGCCAGTCCATCTAGTTGAGGGGTCTTCCTCTTTTTCTCTGGCCCTACACCTTACCAAACAGGATACCCTTTTCCAGCGACTGGTCCCTCCTGACAATATGTCCGAAGTATGAGAGACCAGGTTTGGCCATCTTGGCCTCCAAGGAGCACTCGGTTGCACTTCATCCAAAACGTATCTGTTGGTTCATTTGGCAGCCTGTGGCACTTTGAATATTCTCCTCCAACACCATAACTCAAAAGCAACAATTCTACAGTCTTCCATATTCACTGTCCAGCTTTCACATGCGTATGTGTTATTGAAAATACCATGGCTTGGGTCAGGCGCCCCTTAGTCCTCAAGCTGACATCTTTCCTCTTCAACTCTTTAAAAAGGTCTTGTGCAGCAGATTTGCCTAATGCAATATATCATTTGATCTCTTGACTGCTGCTTCCCTGAGTATTGATTGTTGATCCAAGAAAAATGAAGTCCTTGACAACTTCAGTCTTTTCTCCATTGATAAGAATGTTATTTATTGATCCAGTGGTGAGGATTTTTGTTTTCTCTACATTGAGATGCAATCCATACCAAAGGCTGTGTTCTTTGATCTTCATCAGTAAGAATTTAAAGTCCTCTTCACTTTCAGCAAGCAAGGTTGTATCATCTGCATATCGCAGGTTGTTAATGAGTCTTCCTCCAGTACTGATGCCACGTTTTTCTTCATATAACCCAGTTTCTTTGATTATTTTGCTCAACATACAGGTTGAATAAGTATAGCGAAACAATATAACCTTGTCACACACCTTTCTTAATTTTAAACATTCCAGTGTTCCCGTGTTCTGTTCTAACAGCTGCTGCTTGATGTAGGTACAGATTCCTCATGCACACAATTAAGTGTTCTGGAATACTCTTACTTCACAAGGTTGTCCGTAGCTTGTCATGATCCACACAATCAAAAGCCTTTGTGTAGTCAGTAAAGCACAGGAAAACATCTTGCTGGTATTTTCTGCTTTCAGCCAAGATCCATCGGACACCAGCAATGTTATCCTGCATTCCACAGCCTTTTCTGAATCTGGCTTAAACTTCTGGAAGTTCTCTGTCAGTGTATGCTTGCCACCCATTTGTGTAGCACCTTTAGTAAAACTTTATTTGCATGCATAAGAAAGAGATTATCCGATGATTTCCACATTCCATTGGGTCATCTCTGTTTGGATTGTGAACAAATAAGGATCTCTTCCAATCAGTTGGCCAGATAGTTGTCTTCCAAATTTCTTGACAGAGATGAGTGAGTGCCTGCTGTGCCATCTCACTTTCTTGAAAGATTTTAATTTTGATTCCATCAATTCCTGGTGCCTTGTTTTTTGCCATTTCCTTCAATGCACCTTGGACTTCCTCCTTCAGTATCATTGGCGCGTGATCATATGCTACCTATTGAAACGGTTGAACATCAACCATTTCTTTTCTGTACAGTGACTCTGTGTATTCCTTCCATCTTCTTTTGCTGCTTTCTGCATCATTCAGTAATTTCCCCAGACAATCTTTGAATAACGAAAGTCGAGGCTTGAATTTTTTCTTCAGTTCCCTCAGCCTGAGAAATGCTGAGCATGTTCTTTCTTTTCGGTTTTCTGATTCCAGATCTTTGCACGTTTTGTTGTAGTATTTGGCTTTATCTGCTCAAGCTGATCTTTGATATTTTCTGTTCAGCTCTTGTACCTCCTTATTTCTTCATTTGCTTTATCATCTCTACGCTGGAGAGCAAGTTTCAGTGTCTCTTTTCTGACGTCCATTTTGACCTTTTCATTCTTTCTTGTCTTCCTAATGACTTTTTGCTTTCTTCATGTATGATGTTCTTCATGTCATCCCACAACTCTTCTGGTCTTCGGTATTTAGAGTTTAATGCATCAAAACTGTTTTTCAGATGATCTCTAATTTCAGGTAGGACTTGTTTTCCTTTTCTTCAGCTTCAGTTTGAATTTCTATATCAGAAATTGATGGTCTGTTCCACAATCTGTCCCTTGCCTTGTTTTGACTAATGGAATGGAGCTTTTCCATTGTCTCTTTCCTCAGATGTAGTCAGTTTGATTTCTGTGTATTCCATCTGGTGAGGTCCATGTGTATAAGTCATCTCTTATGCTGGCTCAAGAAGGTATTTGAAATGAACAAATCATTCATTTTGCAGAATTGTATCATGCGATCTCCAGCATCATTTCTGTCACTGAGGTTATATTTTCCAACTACTGACCCTTCCTCTTTGCTCCCAACCTTTGCATTCCAATCACCAGTAATGATCACTATATCTTGATTGCATGTTTGATCAATTTCTGATTGAAGAAGTTTGTAGAATTCTTCTATTTCATCCTCACTGGCTTTAGTGGTTAGTCTGTAATATCAGTATTACCAATGGTTATGATAAGTTTATTTCTCTAAACTGAGCATTTTCATTTTTTACTCAGGTTTACATCTGAATTGGTACGTAATTAGTTACTCTTGGGTTATTTGTAGGGTTATTTACTCATGAACCATCCAGGTTTTAGTATTTGTATCAGTATTTTATGACGACGGATGGGGTTCGAGTGGAAATTCATGTTGACATCATTCACCTTTACTAACTAATTCTCTCATCTCAGACTACTCCAAGAGCATCTTTGAAAAAAAGTTTCTTAGTTGTTTTCTTGCTTCAAAGAACATTGTACTATATGGTGAAAATGAAAGATGGCAAAAGCTTCTTGTTGTTTTCAGAGATTAGGAAATTAATTGAAGAGGGGATGAAAAAATTTTGTAGTAGAGAAAATGGACATGATTTGACGACCTTTCTCAGGTTGTCAGAGCGTGACCCTTTATTTTGTTCAAAGTTCTTTGACTTTGCAGAAACAAGACAAACCATGCACTATGTGGTACAGAAAAGAAAGTTGAAAAAAAAATCCATTTAAGTTGATGTATATGAGGGACTTCAAAAAGTTTATGGGAAAGAGTAATAGAACGATAATAGAATTTTTCCGTGACATTTTTCAAATGCCTTAGTATTTTTTCCTTGTTCTCCAAAGAATTTAGTGATTAGTTTTATTGATTAAAAGGTTTTAGACTGGCATTCTTTAAAACCCAAGACTTGTTCTGTAACCCTGTTCTTTTTCCCTCTCAGCTGCAACAGCTGATCCAAACTTTACAGATCCAGCAGCAGAAGCCTCAGCCTTCCATCCTGCAGGCCCTGGATGCTGGGCTTGTGGTACAGTTGCAGGCGCTTACAGCACAGCTCACAGCCGCGGCTGCAGCCGCCAACACCCTGAACCCTCTAGAACAGGGAGTCTCCTTCAACAAGGTAAAGCATTATTAGGATATCAGACCTGCTGTACATGAAGTGTTGGTGGTATTAAGTGTCGTCTAGTCGGTTCCAACTCACAGCGTCTCTGTCTAGGGTTTCCACGGAGTGGCTGGTGGGTTTTAACCACTAGCTAGCAGTCCAGTGCCTATCTTACAGAACCACACCAGGACTTCATATGAAGTGTATAAGTTAAATATTTTATATATTCATATGTATGTTTTGATTGCATTTTAGCACATTGTTGTTGTTAAGTGCCATTGAGTCGGTTTCCAAGGAGCGACTGGTGAACTTGAACCAATGACCTTGCAGTCCACAGCAGGAACGCACAGCGCCCTAGCAGGCCTCCATTCTAGCAGAGAGCTGTGTTAATACAGACTGTAGTACACAAACACTCAGCTGAAGCTGTTGCTATTGAGTCGATCCCATCTCATCGTGACCCTGTGGACGGAGCAGAGCTGTAATCTTCCTGGAAGCAGCCTGCCACAGCTGTCTTCTGCAGACCTGTCGGTGGGTTCCAACTGCTGACTTCTTGAATAGCAGCCAAGTGCTTAGCCACATTCTAAAGTTTAAAAAGACTTCTGAAAAAATTCATTTCATAATTCCACTGGAAACATTTAAAGTATTTTCTTTTGACTAAAAAGACAAATTGTGTCGGTAAAATTATTTATTAACCTGTAAGTCAAATAGTTAATGTCCTAAACGGTCTAATTTCCTTTGGAATGTTATACATCAATTGAAGGAGCCCTGGTAACCTAGTGGCTTGTGAGCTGGGCTGCTAACCACAACGTCTTTCCAGTGTTAACCACTGCTTGTCATGAGCCACACAGTTTGAAAGCCAATATAGCGTAAGTAGACATCTTTCTAGTGTTCTCTGCTTTCAGTCAACATTCACCTGGCATCAACAACGAAGACTGGGTGTTCCTGAACACTTACTGTGCTCATGAGGAACCGGTACATAACCCAAGAGGCATTTGTTTAAACAGAACAAGTGGATACTGAACATGTGCACAAATGTTATATCCTTTTACCATAATTATTCTATCTGTATGCTGAACCAGTAATCTGAAAAGATGGATTATATGAAGAAAAATGTGGCATCAGGATTGGAGGAAGATTCATTAACATTCTGCAATGTGCAGATGATACAATCCTGTTTATTGTATGTAAAGTTTTTTAAAATACTAACGAATGGCAGAGACTACAGCCATCACTTATGGATTGCACCTCACAATAATTATGGACCAATAAATAACAAATAACAAGCATTTGTTTTTGCTTTGATCAGTCAACAACTCAGGAAAGCAAAGAAATCGAATAATGTATTCGGCAAATCTGCTACAAAAGATCTCTTTCAAGTGTTAAAGAACAAAGATGTCAGTTTGAGAACTAAGGTACACCTGACACATGCCATGGTGTTTTTGATAAATTCGTATGTGTGTGAAAGTTGGATTATGGTGTTGGAGAACAATATTTAAAAGTATCCTGGACTATGAGAAAGAAAAAAAAACCCTGTGTTGGACGAAGTACAACTGGGATGTTGAAACTTTGTGTCATACTGTGGACTGTTATTAGATGGGACAGTCCCTGGAGAAGAACTTGGTGAAGTGGCGGGTCAATGAAAAGAGAAAGACTCCAGTGAGATGGGAGTGGCAGCAGAAATCATCTCAAATGTAACAACAATTGGGAGGATACAGGACCAGGCCCTGTTTTGTTCTGTTGTGCATGGGGTCACTGTTGATTGGAACAGTGCCACTCAGACACTTAACAAAATAGCTTGACCACATAAAAAGCCTTTACACATTAACAAATTAATGTAGCAAGCATTCTTAGATAACAGTTGACCTGGAATTGCATCTATTGTTCATATTTGTAGTTTTTTTTTAACAAGCTGTATTACCCTGGACTATGTAAATTGGGTCTTCTGTAAAGTTACAGTGTTAGTGTTTGTCCTGTTTATGCCATGATTTGTTTGTTGATAAAGCAGTGAATGAGGGCAGGGACTTCAAAAAGTTTATGGAAAAACTCTATTATCTTTAATTACATTCCATTTTTCCACACACTTTCGATGCCCCTTGTATGTCTAAAATGAAATTTTAGTCTATCATTGCATAAAGTGTTATAAAATAGTTATCTATTAAGTGTTATAGGTAAATTAAGGGTATTTCAGCGACCTGCAAATTAGTGTTTGTAACTTTTGCTGTCCTTTTAAAGTCTGTTTTTCTCCTTCATCCTCTCCCCTCAGAAATTGATGGATAGATTTGATTTTGGAGACGATTCTGAGCACAGTGAAGAACCCAAAAAGGATATCCCAACTTCCCAACTGTAAGAATTATTATCTTTTTCTTTATAAATATTGGGGAGCACTTTGCCTTCTGAACAGCTCATTTTACTTTCACAACTAACTTGGGGTTGATTATTGCTTTGGAATACTGACATTACCTCAGGTGAGAGAATTGTTCTCTTGTTGCTTCCTTGTATTAGTTTTACTCTTCCTCAGATCTCTGCAATTACTATAAGAACATTTGAAATACCAGGAAAGAAATTCTAATACCAAGGGGCTGCTTTTAGGAAGTATTCAAAAATTCCAGGACACAGCAAATTTATCAGAAATAAGGATTGAGATTGTACAGTTTCATTTTTTCTTTGAACAAAATGGATTGTATGGGTCTATTTGGATGAGTCCCCTCACCTCCCCATCCCCGACACTCTTCAGCGCTCTAGATTGTGTGGGGATGTGTGAGAGGGCCTGTGGGAAGGAAGAGAGGTGGTAGAGTGGATGTGTTGAAGGTAGATGAGTCGTAGAGGCTGGACAAAAAGGGAGGACCTTCTGGGACTCACATTTCTAGCAGATGTTACTGTTTCATATATTGGCATAGCATGCAAGATGACTTGATAATGCTATTTTACTTGAAAAAATGAAAAGCTAGTATTTTAGATTATAAAATTTAAACTTGAAAGTACCATTTGATACCATTTAGATAAATCTCCTGTATAGTCAAAAAGTCTTATCTTGATAGTCCTGACACAGGATTATTTATCCTGCTTGAATGCCTTCTATGCAAGAAATTAAGTGTTTTGTTTGTTCTTTTGTTCAACCGAATCCTGTTTCCATAAATTCTTATAAACTGGCCCAAGATTTACTCCATTATTTTTTTGAGACATCGCTTTTCACAATGTGAAGATAGATATCATTCTTCTTGGAGATTTATTTGCTGCAGATGTAGTAGACTTTTTCCCAACTGTTCAAAACTTTACGTCATACTGATGGGTTTCCCCTTTTGGGTTACCCTCTTTTTTATTCATGTCCTATCTTGGCACTCAGATTTCCAGGTGCATTTCAGGTGTGGAATAGTGAAGTTGATTATATCTATGATTACCCAAGGAAAGCATAGTAGTTTGTATATTAAGTGTCTGGTCACTTGAAATTAATAGATTTCTTGTGTGTCGACTGGTAGACCATTTGCATTGTCCTTTAGTCAGAGAGGTTCCTTGGTGTTGCAGATGACTGGTGCTGGACCACCTTGCCACACCACAGAAGCAACAGCCTGGCGATCTGTGTCTGTAAAGCTATCAGTCATGAAAACCCTGTGGAGCAATTCTGCTCTGTACCACATGGTGTCACCAGCAGTCGGACTTGAGTTGATGGCAATGGGACTTTTAATGGTTACAGAAAGAATTGAAGTGGCAATATTTAAATACTTTAAACTGTTTTTACAAGTGTTTTGCTGAGACTTTTAAAAAACTGCTCTAGTGTAATAAGCAGTATGTTACCTGTTTTTTGTTGTCAGTACCGAGTATAGCACAGCAGAGCGAAACATGCCCGATCCTGGGCCAGCCTCACTACTGTTGCCACACTTGACGCCATCGATGCTGCCACTTGGCCAGTCTATCTTGTTGGGGATCTCCATCTTTTTCTCTGACCCTACACCTTACCAATTGGGCTGCAAACCTTAAGGACAGCGGTTCGAAACTACCAGCGGCTCCGCGGGAGAAAGATGGGGCTTTCTACTCCCGTAAAGATTTACACCCTCGGAAACCCTGTACAGGGTTGCTATGGGTCGGAACCGACTCAACGGCACTTAACAACAACAACACCTTACCAAACATGATAGCCTTCTCCAGTCACTGGTCCCTCCTGACAACAGGGCCAAAGTATGAGAGTCCAAGTTTGGCCTCCAAGGAGCACTCTGGCTGCACTTCTTCCAAAATGGATCTATTGGTTCTTTTGGCAGTCCGTGGCAATAGTCTCTTCCAACATCACAACTCAAAAGCATCAATTCTTCTATAGTCTTCCTTATTCACTGTCCAACTTTCACATACATATGAGGTTATTGAAAAGATCATGGCTTGGGTCAGGCGCAGCTTAGTCCTCAAGCTGACATCTTTGCTTTTCAACACATTTAAAAGGTCTTGTGCAGCAGATTTGCCTAATGCAATACGTTGTTCGATTTTTTGACTGCTGCTTCCATAAGTGTTGATTGTTGATCCAAGAAAAATGAAGTCCTTGGCAACTTCAGTATTTTCTCCATTGATAAGAATGTTGTTTATTGGTCCAGTGGTGAGGATTTTGTTTTCTTTGCATTGAGATGTAATCCATACCGAAGGCTGTATTCTTTGATCTTCATCAATAAGAATTTTAAGTCCTCTTCACTTTCAGCAAGCAAGGTTGTATCATCTGCATATCGCAGGTTGTTGATCAGTCTTCCTCCAATCCTGATGCCATGTTTTTTTTTTTTTTTTTCATATAATTGAGCTTCTCCGTTGATTTGCTCAACATACGGGTTGAATAAAGATAGTGAAAGAATGCAACCCTGTCACACACCCTTTTTCATTTTTAAACCATTCAATTTTTCCAAAATCTGTTCGAACAACTGCCTCTTGGTCCAGGTACAGATTCCTCATGAGTACAATTAAGTGTTCCGGGATACTCAAACTTCACCAGGTTGTCCATAGCTTGTCATGATCCACACAATCAAAAGCCTTTGTATAGTCAATGAAGCACAGGTAAACATCTTTCAGATATTCTCTGCTTTCAGCCAAGATCCATCAGACACCATCAATGATAGCCCTCGTTGCACGGCCTGTTCTGAATCCGGCTTGAACCTCTATATTACCTTTAGTAAAACTTTACTTGTGTGGGATATCAAAGAGATTGTCCAATGATTTCTGAGTTCCATTGGGTCATCTTTCTTTGGAATGTGCACAAATAGGATCTCTTCCAATCAGTTGGCCAGATAGCTGTCTTCCAAATTTCTTGGCAGAGGTGAGTTGAGTGCCTCCTGTGTTGCTTTACTTTCTTGGAAGATATCAGTTTTTATTCCATCAATTCCTGGTGCCTTGTTCTGTGCCAATGCCTTCAATGCACCTTGGACTTCCTCCATCAGTGTCATTGGCTCTTGATCATATGCTACCTCTTGAAACAGTTGAACATGAACCAGTTCCTTTTGGTACAGTGACTCTTGTGTATTCCTTCCATCTTCTCTTGATGCTTTCTGCATCATTCAATAATTTGCCCAGAGAATCTTTCAGTAAATAAAGTCGAGGCTTGAATTTTTTCTTCAGTTCCCTCAGCCTGAGAAATGCTGAGCATGTTCTTCCTTTTTAGTTTCTGATTCCAGATCTTTGCACATTTTATTATAATATTTGGCTTTATCTTCTCAAGCTGATCTTTGATATTTTCTGTTCAGCTCTTGGACCTCCTCATTTCTTCCATTTGCTTTAGCATCTCTACTCTAGAGAGCAAGTTTTAGTGTCTCTTCTGACAACCATTTTGATCTTTTCCTTCTTTCTTGTCTTCTTAATGACCTTTTGTTTTCATCCTGTATGATGTTCTTTTTGTCATCCCCCCCAAAAAAAAACTGGTCTACGGTTTTAGAGTTTAATGTATCAAATCTGTTTATCAGATGATCCCTAAATTTAGGTGGGATATATTCAAGATCATATTTTGTCTCTTCTGGATATGTTTTCATTTTCTTCAGCTTCAGTTTGAATTTGCATATGAGTAATTGATTCTGTTTCACTGTCTTCCCCTGGCTTTGTTTTCACTGATGATATGGAGCTTTTCCATCGTCTCTTTCCGCAAATGTAGTCAATTTGATTTCTGTGTATTCCATCTGGTGACGTCCATGTGTATAAATTGTTTCTTATGCTGTCTAAAAAAGGTATTTGAAATGAACAAATCATTGATTTTGCAGAATTCTATCAAGCGTTCTCCAGCGTCGTATCTATCTTACCTGGTTTTAGAGGCATGAAGTAGCAATATCAGGTCTTCAACAGAACACCTCTAACGTGTTTTCCCTTGGAACACTACTGAAGAATGCACTTTTGTTTAATTAATGTGTTAATAATGCATATTAATGAAGTATTCCATTTGTTATGTTACTTTGATGTATAATAACACTAGCAGAATATGTTTTGTTGACTCCAGTTGTTTTTTTCTTTAGTGAGATTAAAACATTGATTTTTTTTTTTTTCTTTCGCTTTTTCTCCTTAGTCCTCATGTTTCCGAATCCGTGAACAATTCCATTTTTCATCAGATAGCAGAGCAGCTACAGCAGCAGAATCTGGAGCAGCTTAGACAGCAGCTCTTGGAGCAGCCGCCGCAGAAGGTTTATATCCCCATCCTGTGGTCTTTTGAGTGATTGCTTCCTGTAGTCTAAAAGTTGGTCTATTTGTCTGTAGAGTCTTTTGTAATCTATATGGTTTTTTATCAGTCACATCATTTCCTTTCTAAGTTATCATGATCTATCCATTACTAAATAGACCAGTTTTCGTAGAACTTTTAATATTTTTGCTGTAACCAAAGCATGTTCTGGCAACTTACTAACCCATTGGGAGCATGGCAGAAATTAATTTCAGCGTCTTGGGGATGTAGAACAGAAGACAGGCTATGTTTCAGTGTCATTGCTGAAAACTTACATGCTTTCCTGCATCGTCAGTTTCCTATCAAGGTGGACAGTGATGCTTTTTCTATTCATGATGGTGATCGAGCCAATTGCTGCTTTAAAGTAAAACATTGCCATGTGGCAGTACCTTTATTAGGCATGTTGTAGACACATTTAGTCAAAGTATACAGCTAATACCATATAGATCATCATTCTTAAGATGCAAATATTATGTGGATAGTCATGAATTTTTAAACACTCCCAAGTACAGGACAACATGCCATTGATAAGAATCTTAAATTTCAGGAATGACAAAATGTAAAAAACTACTGACCCAGAATCAGTAAAGTATGTTTAAATTACAGAGGTAAAAATTAAACCCATTACAAAGCTTATTTCTGCTCTAGATGAGAGATATTTAGAGATGCAAGATGAGGAGGAACCATTCGCCTCCTTTCTCCCAATACATACTTCCCAATGCTCTCAATGTTTTTTTTTTGTTTTTTTTTTCCTCTCTCGATGTTTTGACATTATCCTAGGTTGGTTCTCGAGAGAAGCAAAACTAGTGAAGTGTGTATATGTTGTTGGTAGTGTTGTCAAGTCGGCTCTGACTCATAGCGACCCTGTATGATGTTTACTAGGAGTGACTGGTAGATTTGAACTGGGTTTAACCTCGATAATGCTTACGTGCCATTTAATTCTGACTCATAGTCACCCTGCATAGCACTTCTTTGGAGCCCCTGGTGGGTTTGAACCATTGACCTTTTGTTTAGCAGTCTCTAGTGCTTAACTATATGTGGACTCCATATATTTGATAGAGAGTAAGTTAAGGATATCATGAATAAGCTTGTGGAGGCTGGCATGTCCCAAGTTAGTAGGTTGGAGGCGTTTTCTGATTCCTTTAGCTGCTGGCACTGACGAACCCAATATGAGAAGTCAGATGTCACACAGCTGGCTCGTGGGCTGTAATGGTGATGGTTAAATTTAATAATCATGTCATTAGTTCTTAGGCTATTTAAGAATATAATAAAATGAGGTGTTTCTGTTGAACAGTAAGCTCAAGCTGGCTGCTTCAGATTTGTTGTAGTGTCTTAGATAACAGAATCAGGTTGATAGTACCACTCTGCTCATGACAGCTCTGAACACACCTGGAGAACCTATTGAGGTCTCAGTCTCCATAAAACTAAAGGACCAATGAAAAACTGGAACACTTTGCGAGAAGAGTGGCCACAATTATAAAGGGACTAGACATCATGTCACGAAAGGAATGGTTTCTATTGTCTTGAGCAAGTTGGAGTTGATGATTTCAATAATTATAACATCAGAATATCGAGAAGTGTCCGGGGAAGTTGTAGCTCAAAATGACATGCTAATGATGGTGAAAATAGTAAGGCAAATAAAAAGGGCTTTTAAAAGAATGTTAAGAATCAAGAAATTTAAAGATGATTCCACCACTTAATGATAAGGAGCAGAATCCCAAAATGATACTTATTTTATTACTGAAATTTTTCATGCAGGAAAATATGGAAAGGGTACAATTGAACATGATAAGGTCTATGATGGGCTATTAGGAACCCTTTTTTGCTTAAAATGGGTTGATGTCAAATAACTTGTGTAATGACCCTGAGTCTGATGACCTAGTAGACCCCTTAATTCAGGGATATGGAGTCCTGGTGTGGCACTGTGGGAGAGGCACTGGACCACAAGGTCTGTTTGAACTGCTGGTCGTGGTTCAAACTCACCTGTATAGCGTTTCCTTGGAAAATGGTCTAGGGCTTATACGTGTGGATTTCAGTAAGATATTTGACTAAGTATTTCAGTAGATTTATAACTGATCAAAGTGTGATGCTTCATGAATGTTAATGCCAGTCTTGAAAGGATGTTGCCAGCGCCTGTTCTCTTTGTCTTTATTTCACTCAACACTTTTATGTTTACTTGGTAGATAGTGCTGAAGAAACGAGGGATGTTTGTACCAGGATATAGATAAGGATGTATGTTATTACACCAGGAAAAATAGTCACTATCACCTGGATCCAGTGACCCTCTTCATTTAAAAATTTTTTTAAGCCATGCGCTACAAATAATTGACAGAAGTGAGAGTGGAGTGATGGGGTGGGCTGGGGGGTGAGCATTAGGAATCTTAATAGAACGTCAGCATAGCTGCCTTTTTGTATTAAACCTCGGAGCCCGAACTCCTACAGGAGAGCCGCTCTCACTGTCACTTGCCTCATGCCTTCTTCAGACCACATGGAGCAGCCCAGGTTCTTCTGCAGTGTACGGTCGGATGACGTCTAAGTGGATGACACTAGCATATTTCCTTCTTTTTCTTAGAAGTTTAGGTTTCATTCATCAACTTCTTGAATTTGAGCAATCTATACAAGATATGATGTGGCGATGTGGGTTAATGCTCCAGACTGCAAAGATGTTTCAACTGCAAGGTCAGCGGGTCATGCTCATCAGCTGCTCCTTGGAAACTCTCTGCAGGGTCCCTATGGGTCGGAGTCGATTTGATGGCACTTAACAACAACAATATACATGATATGGTTACCTGAAAACTCAAGTCAGCAATTGCACTTGTATATATATGATACATTGCCTTGTTGTTACCATTATAGTCGGAAGTGGTGCTAATCCATAGCATTGCGTTCTTCTTCTGATTGTTCTCATGATGTCTCAGTTTTCTTTACTGTTCTGTTAGGGTAAAGATGAAAAGATTGAATAAGGAAAGATAAACTAGATTACTTTGTGCCATCTTGAAATATGATGGAATATTTTTGACAATGCAATAAAATCAAATTACAGTGATTGATATCACTATTTTATTATCCGCCTACCAATCCATTGATCTTTGTTTTATTTTTTTCATTCTTTTAACATAATGGAGAATAGTTGATGGATAATTGAGTAGTTATGAAAAAATTCCTAGCTTGATGAAGTACCAAAATTTTCAAGACACAGGAAAATAAATCTCTGTGTCCTATAACATTTCTTAGATTTAATTTCAAGGGCCAGTAGACTTAGTGCTACTTTCAAGATAGAATAATGTTAGCTTCTTTTTAAAAAAGTAAAGAGGCCTGTTCTTCATAAGACTACTAAGAAAGAATTCCTTCAAACAGGTTAAACTACTCAAAAGGAAACTCAAAACAAAAAATAATTGCAAACAGATCCTGTTGGTTACTAAAGGTTAACACATCAACACATTAAATAGATTACTTAAAGATGAGAAACCAACAGGGTTGGAGTAGATACATGGGGTTTCAGGTGTATGGTGAAAGAAGTAATCATTGTGTAAGGAATATGTGACTACTGAGTTAGAGCCCAACAGTAAGACTGAGAATGAACTGTGAACCTATCTTGTATAAGTAAAAATTCTTGTTATGCCGTTTGAAAGGCTTGAGGCAGGTTTTCAGTACATGTCTTGATTTACTCTGGAAGACTAAGCTTATTTGCTAATTTTCTGGTCAGTGTGGTGTTCAAGCTTTTAATGAGTAGTCAGTGCACTGCTATCTGTTCTAATTGTAACTGCAGCTTTTATTTGTTTTACTGATCCTTGGGGAACCTGTTTCCTCGTTAGTATCAAAAGATACTTGAAACTTTTTTTGATGTTCAGTTTGCTCTTAATTATGATACGGTTGTCCTCCCTATACGTCGTCCCTCCCCCAGTTGTATTGCCTTTAGAGTGAGAGTGATATTTTTATCAGTTTGGTCTTGCTTTGAAGTAGTTGTGTTTTGAAGATAGTAAACTATTCAGATTTCTTATCTATTTAATGATGTTGTTGAAGTGTACCACGCACAAAATAGCAGTTGTATATATTTGATAACAGGTTGGTTCTCCTGGACTATAAAATGAAATTGGAGATTTCAGATTCCAGTGAGGGTGTTTTCAGTTTCATAGAGAGACCCATTAAAGAAATAAACTAGTAAAGTTGTGAATGGTTTTTCTAGAATAATGGTTTTGACACTGGCATTTGAGCTGTGTTTTGCTTTTATATATGTAATATGTGACTTAATTTTTTAATATAAAATACTTCCTTGAACTATTATGTATAGCATTTTTATTAATGCTGTCATTGTAATTCTAGATTCCTTTAACAGTGCTATATCATTCATTAGAAAATCTAAAATTACTCCTTCAGAGCTTGTATTTTCTACTGTTTCTCTCACATCTCCTTCAGTCCTGTAGCTCCTCACCCCTTTTTATGGGGGGTTGCTCCCTGCTATTAACCAAACCTTGGTTTATGTAAAAGTGGAGCATTTGATTGCTTATCTCATAAAAGATTTAACGTGGGATTTATCTCTGGATTGGGTCTGGTAGTGTAGTGGTTACGAATCAGACTGCGAACCTCAAGGTCAGCAGTTCGAAACTACCAGCTGTTCCACAGGAGAAAGATGAGGCTTTCTGTTCCCGTAAAGATTTACAGCCTCGGAAACCCGGTACAGGGTTGCTGTGAGTCGAAACCGGCTCCACAGCACATAATCACCACCATATTTATATAAACACACAATTGTGCTGTTTCCAGGGTAGTGACTGAACAACAGGAACTATCCCTGAATTTGAATGTGTAGTAAAATGAATGCTTTTCTAACGTGTGTGTGTTTTTCCATCCTTCTCAATAGGCAACCCCTCAAGATAGTCAGGAGGGACCCTTTGGCTCAGAGCACTCAGCATCCCCTTCCCAGGGGAGCAGTCAGCAGCAGTTTCTTGAACCAGAAGCAAATTTGGATGATTCCATAGATATTCAACAGCAGGTAAAAGAAACCACATTTATGGCTCATACATTTCTTAAGTTAAGTAGAGAAAGTGTTTTAAATTATAATGAATATGTCCTAAGTTTTTTTTGAGCTTCTTTGACCATTATATATCTGCCATTAATGCCTATTGATTGTTTAAGTCAGAATTATTGCCATTATATATCTATATATTGTCATTATATATAAGCTTTTTCTTTTTCTTTTGCCTTTCAAGGATATGGATATAGATGAAGGGCAAGATGTAGTGGTGGAGGAGATCTTTGAACAAGAAGCAAAAAAAGTGGCTGTTCGCTCAAGATCAAGAACACGTTCACGATCTCGTTCAAGGTTCTATGATGTTTAATACTAGCTGTGTGTGTGTTAGCCTTCAAAATGCTGATTCTGTCTTTGCATCAAGATGAAGTGAAATTATTTTGTCAGAACGTCTTTTTTTACATACTCAGACATAGTTCAGAATTGTAAAAACTTAATTAACTTTGTTTCTTTTTTAATTAAATAGGGATTTACCTATTGCTAATTTTTTGAATAATTTATAAACAATAGCATTCATATTATAAGCCTGGGAATTTCAATTACTCTTCATTATTTTAGTGATAAGCACTGGATCGCCAGGCTGGTTTTGAACTGCAAGGTCGGCAGATTTAACTCACTAGCTGCACCTTGGAAACCCTGTACAGGGTCGCTGTGAGTCAGAATCGACTCAAAGGCACTTAACAACAACAATAACATTTTAGTGAATAATATGATGATGCCGAGCTTAGAATATAATTGCCTTGAACTAGTGATCAGTCAAGCTATAGAGGAACCAAGTGAGAAATACAAGTTAATGTTTTCCATATTCCATTTCATTTAGAAAATGTTCAGTAATAAAAAGAGGAAACGATATTTCTGTTTATGTTGTTGTGAAGTCAGACACCAATACAATTTGAGCGACTGAAAAGTGCTAGGTGAATTTGCACAGTGCATGTCCTCCTTCCTGCTCTTAGAGAGTACTCTGCCTTGTAGCAGCTCTGTCACTTGTAGAGTCATTGTGCTTTCATTCTCAGGCTTTTTGACACCGGTTTCAACAGTGTTGGAAGACACTAAGAGAAAGTGAAACCTTGTATAGTATCCCCTTCTCTCCTCTTTTTGGGTTATGAGCAGTCACCAATTTCATTCAGTAAGAACTGCTTGCACATAGACTTGGGACTCACGTGGACCTGGATAGTGCTTGGGTTTATGAGATTGTATGTATGATACTTGAATATACTTATAAGTATTTCAGGAGGTAGCTACATGTAAGACATTCATTTTTTGTTTTGTTTTTTTCCCCCTCGCTGAGAAGAGAAAAATTTGACAGAATGACAGCACTTTCAGTAGAGTCACACGATTTTATTTCAATTTTTTAGTAGATCACCAAGAAAACGCAGGTCTAGGTCCCGGTCTGGTTCTCGAAAACGCAAACACAGAAAGCGCTCGCGCTCGCGCTCCCGAGAAAGGAAGAGGAAGTCATCACGGTCCTACTCCAGTGAAAGGAGAGCGAGAGAAAGAGAGAAAGAGCGGCAGAAAAAGGGGCTGCCTCCGATTAGATCCAAAACTCTGAGTGGTAAGTAGTGTGCTATAACATAACACTCTCTGATCCAAACAAAGTGAAGAATCTGTCTACAAATGGTGTTAATCTCATTTTGATACGAAGAATTGGACACATGGTTTGATCGATGAATAATCTCATCTTAGGGGTTTGCAGTATGGTAGAGGAAAGAAGAAAAAAGAGTAGCATTTTGATGTTGTTCTAGTTAAGTGCTGTAGAGTCGATTCCAACTCATAGTGACCCTGAGCAGCTGGTGAGCTTGAACCACCGAGCCTGTGTTTCAAAACTACTATGCAGTCCAAACCTACCATGTAGTCCAGCACATTAACCCACAGTGCCACACCAGGAACATGATTTGACTAAAGATACAAAGTGGCCCAAGCTGGAGTCTGTATCCTGGACAGCCGTGATCTTTGCCCACCAGGTCTGGAGGAATCATTCTTCAGCAAAACATGCACTTGTGTTGAACATCCAACACTGTGACAAATGTGCAGGGGAAGAAATTCCTTTGGTTCAAACATTATTCCCTTTGTATGTCATTTGAATTGTGTGATTAGAACAAATTTGATAGTGATAGAATAGGGGGAGGTACTGTGAAATGAGTTGTAATCAGAGGATTCTTGGTGGGCTTTGACTTTAAGGGGAACTCATAGATCACACAGGAGTCCCAGTATGGTGCTTTAGGGTAAGCACTGGACTGCTAAGGTTGGTGGTTCAGACCCACCAACTGTTCTTTAGAAATCCTATGCATGGTTACTATGTATGAGTTGGGAACAATCAAAGGGGGGGTCAGGGTCATGTTATGAGGACTTGAGAATTTAAGCAGGTCATGGCTGTCATGTCAGAACCATCTCTGATTATGGGATCCAACGTTAATCATATTGATACTCCTAGTCTAGAAGGTTCTATTTGTCCATTAGGGTAGGGGACCAAATGCAAACAAACATTTTAGTAGCTGGTCAATACAGACATAATGGCAAAGGTCTGACCGTCCAGTCTCTAGAATGCTCCTCCGTTCTCTGGCTACCCAAAGTGAGACTCCATGAAGCAAAGGATACCTACCTGGTAGGGTTGCAGCAACTCCCAGAGATCTGTAAGCCAAGGGAACAATTTCCAAAATTTACAAGCACTGACCAACCAGAGTGGAAAGACTTGGTTGAAAACCTAGCATTTAGGAGAGATTTTGAAATGGTCATCTTAGGGGATAAACTTGCTCTGGAGTAAAACTGCCTTAATGAAACTCAAACCCATTGTCATTGATTGTACTGAGAGACCCACAGTACAGAGTAGGACTGCCTTGGAGGATGACTGACACACCTCGTTCTCATAGAACAGGCTGCTGAGCTGCAACTGTCCATCTTTCAGTTCACCACCAAGCTTTTAACAATTGCACCTCCAGGACTTTATATCTTCCCTGTTCGTAATAAATTCAAACAACCATACTCACTACTGTTGAGTTGATTTTCATTCATAGAGACAGACCTTGTACAGGGTTTCCGAGACTGTAAACCTTTACAGGAGCAAAAAGCTGCTGCTTTTGTCTGGTGGGGCAGCTGGTGGTTTTGCACAGCTGATTAGCAGCCCAATGCCTAATCCACAATGTTAGCAGGGCCCCGTTTTCATATTTCACTGTTGCTTAGGTAAAGACACCCACTTAATGATTCCAGCACAGAAGGATGCACAAAAAAACACACAGATAGAATTGCAATGAAATGTAGATTTGAAACTGTTGTACATTACAATTATCTAGGGAATCTTAAAAAATCCAATTCTGGGTCTGTCATCTCTTAAAGTAAGACCCAGGAATCTAGATGTGGTTCAGATATGCAGCCAAGTTAGAGCAGAAGTGGCATAGATGTGACTGTATGGAGGAGCTTCCAACGTTCTTGGAAAAGTGGAAATGGACGATGACATTTTCCCACAAGCTTTTTGAAGTCACTTACTTTACCTGGGATTTTACTTTATATTAGATAAAGCAGATGTAAGTATCCCTTGACAGGTATTTAGAGAATACTGTTTTACATTTAGTTTCTTATAATCATTAGTGTTTTTCCTTAGCTGATTGAGAGAAATGTGTCCCTGATTATTTGTTTTGCATTTCTTTACAGTCTGTAGCACTACGCTGTGGGTTGGTCAGGTGGACAAGAAAGCGACACAGCAAGATTTAACTAACTTGTTTGAAGAGTTTGGACAAATTGAATCCATCAATGTGAGTATCAGCTCTTAGTAAGTTAAAGAGCCACCTTGGTTTCACCCTCATTACCCCAATGTTTGACTTAAATAACACATCTTTACAAGGATTATTTTCCGCATTTCTTTGACTGTTCTGTTGTACTGTTTCTTTGCTTAAATAAGTTTTCTTTTTATAAATGGAATTCTAACAGGATATTCTGAGGTGTTGTGTAGCACTTGCTTATTTAAAATATTCAAGTTAGCAAGAACCCTCTGTGTGACCTAATTTAAACACTACCCATTCCCGTTTTTATATACAAGTGAGGAAACTGAATCCCACAGAATTGCAGTCACCTGTGCATGAGATACACGTGGACCTGGGTCCTTACTCTCTTTTGCTAGATTTTTCTGTAGTCATCTTGGGTGATTTTTTAATCACACAAAGCACACCTGTGTGTTAGAGAAACTCTGGTCACTTGAACAAAACTTTTCCCTCCTCAGTCTCATTTTTTCAGTGACTTTGCCTTACCCCATAGCTGCCTTGGAATATCTTCTTCCTCCAGACCTGTTGCTTTTTCCCAAGAGTTATGTCAAAACGTCCTTAGTTGGCCATTCTAGTTTTATCCATACAAACCATTTGCTGCCCCATCTCTCCCTCATCCTTTCAGTTTGTAAATTCTAGGTTGTGAAATAAAAGTTCTAAGTCAACTGAGCATTTTATAGTCATTTGTTTCTTTGAGGAGACTTAAAATTCATTACATCTATGATTTTAAGGCAGTATTGGTATGCTTTTATGGTCTTTGGACCGTTTATCTTTTTTTTTTTTAAATTAAATGTTTTTATTTTGCATTGAATGAAAGTTTACAGGGCACATCATCAGCTTCACATTCAACCATTCCTAGAGCTTGTTTCATTACATTGATTATTATCCCTGCCATATATCATCAGTTTACAGTGTTTCTCTCTATCCTCTTTAGCCTTTTTTTGTTTTTGGAGGGGGGGGGGGGGGGGCTTGGCTTTTTGGAATTTACAGTCTCGGCTTTTAGGGAAGGTTTTTACATTTGTCTGTGGATATCCAGGGCTCATGTATGAGATTACTAACAAGCATTACTGAATAATCAGATGAGGGACAGTTTGCTATGTCTACTAGGTGGCTAGAGTCTGATCCTCAGAGCCTATGGTTTGGACGGTCAACAACGCTTGGGCCCACAGGGGCTTGACCTTCTGACCGGATCTGTACTGTCTGCATCTGAGTCCTCCTCATTTATTGATTGTTTAAGGGACTCTGCCTGTCTTAGGTGGTCAGTGCGAATTCCTCAGTCTTACCAGTCATTGAGACTCATTGCAGCATGGCAATGTCTCTGTCTTAAGTAGCCGAGGTTCCACGTGATCCTTACCCATCTCTGGCCGCACGTCCAGCATAAACAGCCGCCATCCGAGGAAGGCAGGGAGGGAGGAGATCAGCTGGGGACCCCATGCGTCCGACGTTGCCGGTCCACCACCTGCTCTAAGGTGACCAAGCAGGATCACTATGCTGAGGTTCAATCCAGTTCTTAGGGGATCTTACTCTCTAGCATGGGTAGCAAATCAGTAGCCACTCAGTGTTCACTTTGAGAATTACTTATATCATAAGTTTGAGCATGTAGCTGATGAATATCCCCAGACAAGTGTATATTGTTCCACAACCTCCTAAAATGCTGTTGGATTAAGTTCCAATTAATTTCTGGGTTACTGAAAGATAACACAAATCTACTTATACCTTGAGTAACCTTAGCTGGGAGTGTAGTCTGGATATATTGGGTCTTATTTCCCTTAAGCGGTCTTTCTTTCTCTAAAGCATTTAGTCTGTTTTGTGAGCCTTTGTCTATTTACTCTCGGTTCATATGAGCATTTATCATTATTTTGCTAAAAAGTTATCTGCATTTTCTGTTCTGTCTTTTATCTCAACCTTCCTTATTAGGGGGAAACTTGATTTTTCTGTATTAATGTTAGCACTGTTAATTTAAATTGTGAGTTTAGCATTTCCTGTTTTACTCTCAAGAACATGCTTGTCTAATCAATCTCATTGGAGCTTCATAAGAGCTGGATTAATTTAGTTGTCATTTTACCCATGGTTTCTAGAGTTCACTGTTGTAGCATGGGCATTGCAGGTTCCTCTTTCTACATCAGAGTTATGCTGTAGGATTCTCTTACTCATCACTTAAATTTCTCCTGTCAAAATATCAACTACTTTTCATTGCATAACCTTTTTGATATTTTTTCTGATCTTCTTCTACTCTTAAGCTGGTGGAAATATGTTCTAATGTTTAAACAAAATAGGAATACCCTTGGTACAACAGCTGTACATTCTGAGCAGGCTAGAACCTGCTCTGAGGAACGTCCGCCTTCATGTATTGTAGCATGTTGGATATGCATGTTGCAGATGCCATTTGTGGTCTCTCTTTCTTCAGGCTATTTGAACATTTACTTGCATTTCTCCCTGCTCTGCAACGTTGCCTTCTGTATGTACGGTGTTGACAGATGACAGGGACTTAAGTTATTTTGAGAGTAGACTCACTGGTGGTAGGTTCCAGGATTTGAAAAACTTACGGGAGCTTTGTAAACATTTCACTTGGTTTTAGGGAGTTTGCGGATTGAGAAGAGTCCGTTTTTGATTTGGTATTCAGTCGGTCATGGTGAGCTTGAACAAAAGACTCCTAGTGTTTGGTAAGAAGCTTAAACTACATTCCAAGTGCAGTTTGTATGGAGTTAGGTTGACTTCACGGAACTTTTGAGAATATTGGTGGTAAACTGAGGACAGCAAAACTATGGTTATTATTTTGACAAATAGAGCTCATTAGCTATTGTTGTTGTTGTTATGTGTCGTCGAGTCGGTTCCGACCCATAGCGACCCTGTACAGGGTTTCCAAGGCTGCAAATCTTTATGGGAGCAGAAAGCCTCATCTTTCTCCCGCGGAACAGCTGGTTGTTTCGAACTGCTGACCTTGCGGTGCGCAGCCCAATTTGTAACCACTACGCTACCAGAGCTCCTATTAGCTATTAAGTACTAGTAAAGCAATAGAATATCTTTTGAGTTCTTCAGAGACAAATTGAAGTGCTGTACCTAGATCTCTGAACTAATACATTGATTTGGCAAATTACCGAATAGTTCATTTCTTTTTGTAAACAAAAGGCAGTCTAGTTCTTACACCGAGTTTATTGCTGTATTCATGTTGCAGACTTTTCCCTAAAATTCTTTGGCAAAATATAATTTTATGAAAATGTAAGGCTTCATCTTTATTATCAAGTGTCTGTAAGTTTTAAAAGAAGGATTAGGTGGTGGTTGTGTACCTTGGAGTTAGTTCTGACTCACAGTGACCCTGTACAGGGTTTGTGAGTCTGTAAATCTTTACGGAAGCAGAAAGCAGCAGCATCTTTCTCCCGTGGAGCAGCTGGTAGGTTTGAACTGCTGATCAATTCTTCACAGTTAGCAGCCTAGATTGAAATTCACTGTACTATTAGAGCTCCTTTTTAAGCATTAGGTCCTTCTTCACATCAAAAAAAAAATCTCATTTATTGCTTAGTAGCACTTGGAAAAAATGAAATACTAATTAGAATATTTTATATGACTTTAGATATGTTGGCCTTGCAATATATTATTTCTCTTTCATCTGGTATGTATGGTATTATACATACAAGGGAACTTAAGAAAGTTTGTGGAAAAGTTGGAGTGAAAAGCTAATGAAATGTTCCGTGAGCGTTTTGGAGCCCCCTTGTGTTTTGTCTTCAGGTTCTTTCGTGTTTTTCTTACTGTCACATGTTGAGGTGACTCCTGGAATCCATGTGGCAGAGTAGAACTGCCCCACAGGCCTTTTTTGGCTGTGATCTTTCCAGAAGCAGATCTCCGGGTCTTTGGCCCAGTCAGCAGTCAAGGGCTTCACTTAACCACCAGGACTCCTATTTTTATTCATTGGCACACAGGGTTTCCAATTTCACACAGATCATGGCTTAGAATAAGACCAGATTAGTTTTATGTTTTGGGATTTTTAAAGTAATTGATTTTACATGTGATAGAAGGTTATAACAAATATGGAAGTATGTTATATAAATGATGACAGTTTTGGAACTACTGTAACAAAATAAGTAGAACAGAAGTTCTTGATTTCTCAAAGCCTAAAAAGCATAAAATACTTCTTAGAACCACGTATTTATTGCTTCCTAACTAACATGTAATAAAAGGTAGGAAAAGTAGACATTCTGTACTTGTTCATTTTCAGTAATATTTGAGTCTACCAATATTTTCCTGTTATCTGCCCTACAAACTCTAAATGAAGTAAATACTCAGGAGAAAAAAATTAGATTCTTAAAAACAAAAGCCTAGTATCCTACTGATAAAAGATTGCAGAAGGAAGAAAGGATATAACAATTCAGTAACTAACCTGTCAAAATTGAATTGGAATAGCAGGGAGAAAGATCTGGCAATCTGCTCCTATAAAGATTTACAGTCTAGTAAACCTTATGAGGCAGTTCTATTCTGTCACATGGGGCTGCTATGAGTTGGAAACGGCTTGACAAATACACCGCAGCAACAGCTACATAAGTCATTAGTTAATGTTCTGTTTTCTAACTAATTGCTCTCCTTATGTACTCTTTCTAATGGTTTAAACATTTTTTCTTTAATTAAATAGATGATTCCTCCCAGGGGCTGTGCTTATGTCTGTATGGTTCACCGACAAGATGCGTTTCGGGCTCTTCAGAAACTCAGTTCTGGATCATATAAAATTGGGTCTAAAGTCATCAAGGTGAGATTTTGTGGAGGTGGGGGTTACACAGGGCACTATTGTAGTTAGTACATATTAACGTCTTGAGTTTTTCATCTGAAAGCATCATGTACTTGCTAGTTTGAGTTATTAGACTTTCCCTCTATTTAATCTTCTTTTAGCATCATGAGCAAGCCTAGTCAGAAAGTATATTATTTTAGCATTGCTGAGGTATTAAATTAGATGGAACTTAAAATAAGCACAGTAACCATGTTTTAGTCAATGGATCTTTGACATCACACATGTACAGTTCTCTACTTTAGCCAGGGCACTGGTTTCTAAGCAGAACACTTCTGGTCTAACAAGTTTGTCTTTCATTCACTTCTTCCTTTCTGCCTTCCTAATCTCATTCTCATATTGTTAATTCCTTCTTCTTCTTCTTCTTCTTCTTTTTTTTTTTAACATTTCCTGTTCTTACACAAACAAGATCTTTAGGAAAGATTAGTGTATATGGATATATAT